TAGTTTTTTTGCAACTTTACTGTTGGGATTGCTTTTACTTGAAAGGTAATTCACGACAATTATTTCTAGATTTGATCTCTTATGACCGTTTTCAACAAACATATCTATTATTAACTGAATCTCATTGATAATGTATTTTTTGGAGCAGATTTTAGTGGCTCGTGATATGAAACCTTTAAAAACTCCAGTAATAATTGCAGTGTTGATACTTGAGTCAGGTTTTATTTGTTTGTTTGTTATTGCTTCTTTACGGTAGACTTTGAAATCATAATGGTAATTATTTGTGTTAGTTACTTTTATACCTAAAAAATTTAGTTCTCTCTGATTATTTTCAATAATCAGAGAGAACTAAATTTTTGTTGATTTAATAAAATAACTATATCAACATCCTTAAGGTTGATAACTATATCAACATCCTTACGGTTGATAACTATATCAACATCCTTACGGTTGATAACTATATCAACATCCTTACGGTTAAATAATTCAAATCAGTTTAAAAATGAAGCAGAACTGAACATAACACAATGTTCATGCAAGACAACAACCTTAAGCATAAGGTTGATAAGACCATTCCTTCACCAGAAAAAATTGAAAGTTGCTTACTGGCCAGCACAAAGTCCTGATCTTAATCTACTTGAAAATTATGGGTTAAAAAATGGGTCTACAACTTTCTTACTCCACCTAAGAATAAGGATAAACTTTGGGCTCATCTACAAGTTTGGAATACAACTATATACAAGGAATGCTGCAAATTGGTTGCTAGAGTTCCTGTAAAAATTCAGGTTTTAATTAAACTTAAGGAAGGATACACGCGATATTAATTTAATAAAATGCATTATTTGGTTTTATTTGCTACAAAATTGTCACCATTAGTTCTTTAAAGACTCAGATAAATTTAATGCTCTAAATTTATCTGTCTTAAATAAAACAAAGATTTTAATTTTTTTCAGAGCTTTTCTATTTTTTAAAAAAAAAAACTTTTTGTTCAAACACTTCAATTTGACCAGCTAACCCTTGGAATTGACAATGAACTGTTTTTTTTTGACGGTGAACTGTTTTTTTTTGAAGGTCAACATTTTTATTATTTTCTTTGTTTTCATTTTAATCTTCGTAATAGTTCTTCATGACTAAACTTTATAAATATAAAAATAACTTAATATTTGATAATTAACAAATTAGTATTCCTTTTATAAACTGGATTCTGGTACTGTCAAAAATGAAATCGTTGTTTGTCTCTTTTTAATGAGTTAATTTGCCTCCATTTTAATAGGTTGACATTTGATAATTCTTTTGAAATTCAATAATAGAAATAAAAAAGTGTAAACGCATAACGATAATTTTAAATTTATTTAAAAATAATTCATTCGTAACTAATGGCGGGAAAAGCTACAAGAAAATAAATGAAAAGATTGAATGAAAAAAATTACTTTAGAAGAGAAAATGTTCTTAGTTACATACCACAATTTCATATAATAATTAATTAAGAACTTTAATATTTAAAGTTAACGACATTAAAAGGAAAAAAATGATTGCACATTTTGCTCATTAAAATCATTTTAAAAACTGCTAATGTTAATTTAAATAGAGTTAACAAAATTAGCGAATAATAATTTTATTAATTCGCGCGAAGATTTTGTACTCAAAATTAATTCCTTGATCTATTGAGTTTTTTTTGATTCCAACACTCTACTACATAGTTTAAAATTTGAAGCTCCTCATTCATTCAGTTTGCGGCAAAAACTTATGAGTAAACAAATAAAAAGTTAAAAGACAAATTTTTTTGAGCTTAATGCAATTATTATTAAAATAATATATTACATACAATTATTATTATATACTTTATTAAATTAATAAAGTATAATAAGAACTTCAATCATTTATGAAAAAATGATTTTCACCACCAATAAAATGAAAGTAATTTAAATAAGTGAAGAAAAGGAATTATTAGATGTCACGCCTTATGTTATATTCGTTGGCAAAAAGAATTTAAGAACTTATTGTAAACAATAAGCCTAATTTGAGCATGTACTAAATTATCATATAATCATTAAAATTTTAATGATTATATGATAATTTAGTACATGCTTTTTCCAAATAATAATCTGATTATTTTTCAAATCTTGTTTTTTAAAACTCTTAACCGGTCAACCATGACCGGCAAGAATTCATTTTGGGAGGTCAAAATTACTCATTTTGGGAGGTCAATTTTACTCATTTTGGGAGGTCAATTTTACTCATTTTGGGAGGTCAATTTTACTCATTTTGGGCATTGACAGGAGTAAATGTGACTCGTAGATAAATTTTTATTCAAGCATTGTAACATTTTCTAAAAAAATTATTAAAAAGAACAAGCATTAAAATTTTTCAGCAATATTTTAGTATAGATTTAGATTGCTTTTATATTAAAACATTTGATTATTTTAAAACAATTTCTTTCACATTTCTTCCTCTTTTTTTCTACAAATATTCATTGTGGAAAATAACTGTAAGAGTGTTATTAAATGAATAAGTTTGATACTTTTAAAATTGTTAAATAAGTTAAGTTTGAAGAACCAAAATTTTACTGCTTATAAAAGATAATTTTATTTAAGTTATTAAATATACTTGTATTTATTATTTATGCTTTGATTAAGTCGTTTTATATATATTAAATAAATAAAGCAACAAAAAAAAAATTATTGCACATTAAAAAGTTCTTTCAGTTTTAAAATAGTTTGTGTAGGTTAAATTTTTTTTTTTAATTTTAAACCTGCCCTATTTTCATATTTATTATTTTGCATAAAGACCTTGCTAGAGTATAAATAATATTCAACAATATTTTTAACTATGAATTTTATTCTGTAAAGAAAATATTGTACTAATTCTAGAAGATATTAGATCCAACAAAATTTCAATTTTCAAACAATTTTTTTTAATTATTCTCAGGAAATAAAAACCCAAATTTTACTTTCTTGCCTAATTATTTCTAGAAAGAATATCTGATGATAAATATGATTGTCTGGGTATTCTGTTAAGAACAATTTAATGGCATGATTATACCTTTATTTTCTATATCTCTGTATAATTGCAAAAGCCTCTCAAGAACATTACAAAACTCTACTTTTTATCGTACTTTACATATACTCATTATTTTTTATAAAACAAAAAATTATTCACTGTCAGCATTGTTGGAAAGTTTTTTAGAAGCTTCTTTGATACTTAACATTATTTCATCGTTTTAAAGAGGAATCTGTACTTGAGTATCCAAAAGATATAATAAAACCATTGTTAAATATGAATCATTAAATCAGAAAATTTTGATACAGGTCAGCAAGTATTGTATAAATTTTGTTTATATTCAACTCTATGGGCATATAGATGTGTGAACTTTTCCCCAATAAATAGTGAGTTTGACTCTGAAGGCTATGATTTATAATTCTTTTACCTGATCATCACTTTGAGATCTGTTACTTATGTCAGATCTTGTTTTGAAATTACATATAAATTTAGATGTTGTACACTGTAGATCTACCAATTGTTGACAAGCTGCTTTTTATTGTCTATACTCTGTCTTTCTTGATACCAAAGATCAAAAAAGAAAGTATTGAAGTACACTTGTATAAACTGATCTTCATCATTTACAAAACTTTGTTTTTGTAGCTGCTACTATTTAATTGGATCTGATGTTTTTTCTATGCTTCTCTTCTTATGACACACTGCTAAAAGCACAGTCAGAAAGTCTATCACATTTTTGGTGAACATTGCATTAAACTTTTTTATTAATGCGAGCCAATTAACGTGTCATCTTTTAGTGCAATTTCAAAACATTTAAATCTTGTACATTTACAATCTGCCTCTGATGTGGGATTAAAAGTTTTGTGTTTTTACAGCTTTTATTTTAAATATGAACTATTTTTCTTCTCTTTGGTGTTCATAATTTCAAGACATTTGCCAACATCCGCCATTTTTAATTTTGTTTTTATCAGTATTGCCTTTCATTGGACTTTGTAATTGCATGCTGATAATTACAACATGAAATTAGTGACAATGCTTTTGTTTTCATTTTAAACAATGAACTGTGCTTCTTCTTCCATTACACATGATTCTTTTCCCCCTATTTTTCTTATGAATATTCCATTTATTTACATCTAAAAATTTAATATATATTATGTATGATTATTTACATTTTATGAGTAGTTTATTTATTTATTTTTTCTTGTGTGGTATTCATATTTTTACATATTTAAGCATATTTTATATATATTAATGAATATATAAAATATCCTTATAAGATATGTTACCTTATTTTTTTATCTTTAACATCTTTAATATGTAAAGTTTTATATAAATAAAAAAGAAATTATTTTTAAAACTAAAAATAAACTAATTTCACACTTATAATATTTTTAAACAAAAAAAACCATCTTTTTATTATTATTATTTTTAAATATATTTGTTTATATTTTATATTAATTTTTATTTTAGTTTATTTACAAATATAAACATATTTACCTTTTATTACATTTTCCTTTTTTACATTTTTTTAGTTTAAGGAATGCTTACATTAGCTGAAATCATAAGAATTTTTTTAGCTGCTACTAAAATTGGTAATAGAACCTGTCAACATTGGTAGTAGATCCTGTCAAAGAGGAAAACCTCATCAAAGGATTATTGAAATACTACATCAGTGCATTACTAGAAAAAATGACCTGTAATTTTAGCATCCACTAATGTTTATTCAAATGTCAATTAATAAAGAAGTGTTTAAACATCTACTGGGAGAGGTCAAAGCTTATTTAAGTGCTGATCAAATTGAGATTGGCAACCATAATGAAAGCTTAACTCCTTCAGGTATGCTATGTAATAGTTTAAATTTAAAAATATGTTGTGTAATTATGTTAATTAGAAATTTAGATCTTAAAGTTTAGTTATACAATGACACTTCAATAAATGTTTCCACTTTTTAAAATAATTATATTGATGCAGACAGAAAAATAATAATAATAATAAAAGGTTACCGGTTTAACATCTCTGTGAAGAAAACCACAGTCATGAATTGCTTCTATTCCATTAAGTACTTGTATTCCTAATCTAAGCATAGTTCCCATTGAAAAAACTCCTCTTGTTTGGCTGCGGCGTAATTCTGCTAAATTTTGACCAACTAATGACATGACGACATAATTAAACCGATCATTACGACCACATGCAATAAACTGTGTTACATGATCACGGCCTTTAAAACGAAACAAGGATTAGAATTAATATCCTGGTACATGTAGTATCATGGTGCATATCAAACAGAATTAAATTATATATGTAAGCTTTTGTTTGTGTGTACATATACGATTGTGGTTAATAATAGGTTTAATGTATATTTAAAAAGGTTAAATTATTTTTATTATTATTAGGTATGTAGTATAAATACAACCCTCGGAATTAGGAAAAATGAGGTCGGCAATAATTTGCCAACCTCAATCGGTCAACCTGAGGTCGGCAAAAATTATTTAATACAAAGGTCTGACCATAAAACATAGAAACGAGGTCGGCAAATTTTTGCCGACCTCAAACACTTTCAGGTCAGCAGTTAGGTCGACATTGCTGAATGCCAACCCTAATTCCGAGGGTTGTAAATATAAGGTGCATCTAAGCACCAGACTGGTTTGGCCTATTAGTTAATTGCAAATGCATCAGCCAACGCCGATTAATTGACCAATGCCATTAGCCAATTAATCACCTAAGATAAGATGTACAAAATACATATGTAAGATACCTGATAAGATGTACAAAATACATATGTAAGATGTACCTATACATCACTGTTGATGTATAGGTACATCTTACATATGTATTTTGTACATCTCATATACCATATTCATTTTCTAATTTGGCATCGGTGCATCACTAAAGACTATATTTTTTAAGATCAACTTAAATGAATTATAAATTAACTCTTTCCTTCCCTGCAACCTGAGTTATTACTTACCTGTCAACAAGTTTTTTCTTACCTTCCATTTTTCAGTGACAAGCTGTGCAGGTTATGCAAACTACAACATTTTGGGAATAATTTTATAATATAATCTTTAAATCACATCATCTTTAAACAACCAGATGATACAACAACTTGTTCAACATTTCAATTTTTATTTAATATACTTTATAAGTTCTCATTAATTTTCAAAACTATAGATTCATATGTTATATTTATACTCATAAATTTATATATTGTCAAATTCCTAAACTCTTTCATTTCAAGGCTATTTTTCTTTATATTTTTGAGTAAAAAATGTGACTAACCTAAAAAAAATGAAATTAAAGCCCTTACTGAAATATTACTCAAGTTCTGTAGAAGAAAAAAAAAAACTTAAAAACTCATTTTCAAAATAAATTTTTTAGTAACTAACTTATTAGTTGCTAAGAAAATTTGTAACTAAATATATTATAACATAAAAGATGCAATGGGCCCACACAAACATCAGGTAAATATATTATAACACAAAAGATGCAGTGGGACAAACATCAGGTAAAGTGTTGTAAACCATGTCCCACTCAGTTTGTTTCTCTGCATAACAGCCTTGGTTATGAAGATTCCACTTTTGAGTTAAAGGGTTAGATAAAAGGTATAAAAATTAGTAGCAAATGTAACAGCTCCCTCAGCTTTATAGAGAAAAAAAAAATTAGAAATAGTAGAATTAATGTTTTTAATATATTTAGGCTTTACATATATTACCTATTTAATAAAAAAGCAATTTATTTATTTTTGATAATACTTCTATATACAACAAACCTTGAAGCTTTTTTAAAACAGCTACTTCCATTTTTAAAACTTGTTTTGATGTGTTGGCAGCCTCAAGTTTTAATGCAACCATTTCTTGTGTAATAGTATCATGACCTTGATAAATCTCACCTAAATTCCATATTAAATGTAAGCATTTATTTACGCATATTCAAATTTTTTCATAATTTTTACAAAAAAAAAAAAAAATTAAAAAATAATATATATATATATATATATATATATATATATATATATATATATATATATATATATATATATATATATATATATATATATACATATTATTTCAACATTAAAAAGAAAACTTAACTATATGAATTGTATTTTCAAAGCATCTTTACAATTTTTAATTGACAATGACTTAATGACAACAATTTAATGACTCTGTGTTATATAAATATAACAATATGAAAATATATAAATATAACAATATGATATTTATTTAGAGTATGTATAAAATTTAGATATAAAATGATATATGCATATTATAAAGTGAAAGATTGTATATCTTTCACTTTATAATATGCATATATCATTTTATATCTAAATTTTATACATACTCTAAATAAATGGCATATACTAGGTTTTACTGGGTTAGAGTATGACACAAGCTTTTCTTATCAAGGGTTTTTATATTCATAATTTTCACGCATAATTTTAATTTTATCAAATTAATTTTATAATTTTCTTCTGTTTGACTGTTGATTACAGCTTTTATTTAATTTTTTTAGGATTATGGCTATTCTACATTAAGTAGTAAGTACTCAATATCATTTATTCAGATGCCATTTAAAAAATTTGAAAAGTAATAACTGCATTATATGATGTTCATTTATCACTCTTGAAAATTATTAGATGACTTGCGCATTTATGTATAAAGAAAAAAAAAATTCTACTATTTTTTTGCATTTTTTAAAATGTATAGATTTCTTTTTATTCATTTCTTTTTAAACATTTATTATTAATAAATATTTTTAATGCTTGATAAAAATTAGCTAAATTATAATCTTTTAATAACAAAAATTTAAAAAAATTAAAAATAAAATTAACTATAGAGATTAATATAAAATTGAAGGTTTTTAAATACCAAATCAAACATATTTTGAAATAATAACATGTAAGTAACCATTAAAAACTACTGTTATGGTTACTTCACTACAGTTATATTTAAGCATGATAAAAAACTCGCTTAATGAATTAAATTGATCGAGATGTCCTCGCAGTACAGAAATGTTGTTATAACTACTTTATGAAGAAAAAAAGAGTTTTAAGACAATATGCTTTGATTGAGATTTTAAAGCCAATTATCTTCAATGAGAGGGTTACTGACAAATATCTTCAATGAGAGGGTTACTTTGGACCAATAAAAACCTTTTTTTTTTTAATTAAAAAACAAACAAAAAATTATCAAGAAAGTTTCAGTTTAAGTATAAAGGTTTAGTTTAGGAATTTTACAAAACATTACTTTAAATAAGTATAATATATTTTTTCTTTTAATAAACAAACATTAAAAACAAAACAAAAAAATTTAATTCATATTATAAATAAACAAACTATAATGTTATATGTTAATGTTTCGTGTTATAAATAATAATCTTCATTGTTATAAATAAACAAAAATTACTGAAGGAGTGGGGGCTTATTAATCTAATTATTTTCTCCCACGTGTAAAAAAGTTAATTTTTTTTTCACAGGCTATTTCCAGTTATTCAAAATATTTACCATGACAGTTTTTATTGTTCCATTCTTGTCAAAACAATTATAATTTTTTGAATTTTCTTTATAAATAGTCTCTTAAATTTTGAAGATCTATTAGGACCAAGCTGTGGTTGAACATTATTTTGATTTGAAATTGACTTATCTGATTCTAAATTATAAACTTTTAGGCATTTTTTTTCCACTCAAGCAAATCTTAATGCCATTTTCATTGGCTTAAAAAAGCAAAATCTAAGGGTTGTATGAAAAAAAGGGTTGTATGAAAAAAAGCAAAATCTAAGGGTTGTATTATGTGTACTGTTCGAAGGCAAACATACAAATGCAATGTTTTCTTTTCTGCACATTAGAAACACAGTAACACTAAGGTGGGTGAGTGGATTGTCAGCAATGAGAACCTTTTTACCCATTAACTTTTCCAGTTTTAGCAACATAAGACTTTCAAACCAATTATTAAAACCAAGTGAATCAAACCAACCTGATTTTGTATTTAGGAAGCAACAATCTTTTGGGCCTTCCTGTGTTAGTGTATTTTACATTTGGGTTGTTTTATACAAAATAAAAAGTGGAAGCAATTCACCAGCTGTACAACCACATATCATCAATGAAAAGCTTGACTTTCTCTAAATACCTGATACCTTGGCAACATATCATTTTTCTGTTTCCAGGATCATCAGTTAAATCATCAGTTTTATATAGATTCCATATTTTCTGCAGGTACATTTTTTCTTGTTAAAATTTCCATTATATGCTCATATTATTTCCTCGTTTACTGCAGCTCGGCAGCATTCGATATTTTTACCCAATTATTACCAGGAACATTTTTTGAAAACTGTTAAATTTTTTTATTTTGTTAAAGTAGCAACTCGCTTTTGAAACTCACTTCTTCAAGTCTTGAAAATATAGTTTGCTTACCTAGTCTTATCAAATGCTTTTTCTTTAGCTTATTATTATTTTTGTTGGTATATTAAAATGATTATAATAAAAATGCAGCTATATGTTGACTGAATTTCCCTTGTTTATCAAATCCAGGCATAATTAAATTGTTTCAATAATTTTTGTATCAACAAGCGATAATTTCATAATGATCTCATAATCCTCATAATGCCTTACCATCCTTAAAAATAATTTGCATCTGCTAGCAACATTTTAAAACATTAAATGTAAAAAATATATATATATAGTCTGAGATGACTTTTCACTCTTCTTTTAGCTGGTGCAAAGTAGCTCTTTTTAGTCAAATCCCGACACCCAAACATGTTTTTAAATAATAGTTTAGTTAAGACTTTTTGTGTGCATAATTTAAACTAGAGATAGTTTCTTCGTATAATAAAATCAAACTTTCCTTAAACTGATATATTTCTTGTGCAGAAACATGCCACTGTTAAAGAAGGTAAAATTTGGTAAAAAAATGTATTCAAAATAAGTGTAAATATTAAAAAAGCAACACTTAAAACGGCAACACTATTCAAAATTCATTCTGAAAATTGAAAATAATGGCCCATTATATTCAATTTTCAGTTTGAGTTAAAAAATCAATATTTAAAGTATTTAAGCTGGGTAACTAAACAAAATTTAAGAGAAGGTAACTCAGACTAAAAAGTTACTTCTTCATTCAATAAACTTAGATTTAAACCTGTGTTACATTAGCTTCTTGATTAGGATGATGAACTTCTCAACTCTAATCATGGTCTTTTAGGAAGACCTCTTTGGGAGTAGCTTTGCCACTCTTTCAGCTATTGCTAATAAGGGTACAGCACTAAAACTCTAATGGTTCTGAGGACAACTGGTAGAAACGATTCTTTAACACGCTTAGAGAATTTTATCAACAATTTAAATTATCACAGTTATAAAGTGTTGTGTTGCACATGGATGGTTTCTATGTCTTATGTGTATTTTTTGTGAGGATTGCTGAGGCCATATAAGCAGCCAGTTGTTATATCATGCTTTCCCTGGAAGCATGTGCGGTCGCACCCTATATGCATCTACCATTAAAATAATTTTTTTAGACAACTTGACCACGTTTTTTTATAGTAAGCATTTTAAGAATATGCGGCAAAATAAAGCTATAAGAAACTAGAAAGAATAAAACAGCAATACTCAAAGAAAGGAAACAAAGACTATACAAAATAGAAAATCTAAATAAAATAAAATAAAAAATATTGCATATTTTAAAAAAAAAATGTAGTCAAAAAAAAAAAATATACCTAAATATTTTACTGTTTTTGTTTTCTTGTTTTTTAAGGGTGTTTATTTTTGTCCACTACGAAAATTAATACAAGTCGAGGGAAAAAGCAGATAAGAATATAACAAAAATAAAAACATTTTTTAATATACAATTTTTTTGCGACTTTTTTTAGTCAGCATATTAAGGAAATACTTTATTGTTTGCGCTAGAAACATTGGCAATTTTTAAATTTGTTTTTCAAATGTTTTTGCTAAACTTGACTGTTTTTATCAATGCACAAATTTTTTTATTTTAACAAGTTTTTCATTTAAAAAAATAAAAAGTCATTAATACTTATATTTAAATATAAAATACTTGGTTGTTTTCACTACACCCATTGAAATAGTTTGCACTTTTGTTGGATTATCAAACTTGTGAATTTAAACCTAATAGTTTATTTCCTGATAAACTTTTGTCATTGAGGATGCTCCAAAAGATTGTGGGCTAGTGCATTGTTAACTTACTGAACTTTTTAACAAAATTTTTAGGAGCTTGTTTAAAATGTTTTTTAAAGTTTTTATAAACATATTTTCAAACAGTGTAATTGATATGTTCATTATCTCTAGTAATTAGTATTAACATTGGAAATTGGACAATAAAAAATAAACAACTTCAAACATGCATCAAATGTGGTAAATACATTTGTAAAAGAAACCATGTTGTTCTTTTATTTAATTTATTCCATATTTATAACATATATTATTTAATTATTTATTACAAAAATTGTTAATCAAATAATGTATTATACAAACAAATAGCAATTTATTTTCTTATTTTCCTGTTATATAAATATTGAGAAAAAACGTCAAATATAGCAGAAAGATTTTTAAAAGTGAAAACACTTTTAAAAGCGACATAAAAACGAATCAACGTAAGAAAAAAAATAAACATAGTTTCCCATAGTTTAAGAGTACATAGCAAATTAGTTTCTTAACATACGGACTGATAAAAATTGTGAATAAATTGCATATCAAAATATTTACTTGTTAAATTAAAATTTTAAATAAAAGATGATATGTTTTTTTTTCATCAACTTGTATCAAATTCGGTAGCTAAAAATAACAACCACTTTAAGAATAAATACAAAAGTTGAATAAAAATTTTATAAAAAAAAAATTTCTCATTTTTGTTTTGTTTTAATTAAATTTTTCAGTTTATTTAATTAAAA